GACACCCACTTGAGGCCCTATTCTGGGACTCAAGAAAGTCTCCTGAACCTTTTTTCTCCTTCCTTCTCAGCCAAGCAGGGCCATTTGTCCAGTGCCCCCTGATATGTCGCTCCACACACCCACCCGTGGGGGTGAGAACCATGGTGTCCTACCTGCGGATTCCACATACCCTGCCCCTGCATTCAATGTTTCCAGCTGTTTGTGATCGAGGTGGGAGACTTGGGGGCCAAATCCCCCCAAAACATACAGATGATTTCTTCCAGATGGGACCGGAAGGGGGCTCAGTGCTGAGTGTGATGGGACAGGGAAGCCTAGGACCTATTTCACGTTTTAACCTGAAGCCAGAGAGTGAATTGAGAAGCCAGACACATGCCTGGTGGGTGTGAGCAGTAAGTGGGGTAGCTGTAAGAGAAGGTCCAGCAGAAATCTGGAAAGAGAGAAGGAGGGGAAAAAACAAGACATAAACTAGCAGTGCCCATGCATATACCTTTCTCATCTGTTTAATTGCAAATAAAAGCCAGAGCAGCTCAGGAAGTCCCTGGACCTCTTCTTAGCTCAAAAGTGAGTCACCGGCCAGGCCTGGGAGAGGAGAGGTGTTGGGGTAGTCCACAGCAGTCTGACAGGCCTTTTCCTTTCCTCTCCCTATAGAACCCCCCGCCCACACTCCACTCAGGAGATCAGTCTAGGCCCAGTCCCCAGAATAGCAGCACCCACAAAGGGGATCCATTTCCGGGTTGGGTGTGTCAAATTTCACTTTGTTTCTAGGGTCTCCATGCCTGAATTTTGAAAGGAGCAGTCTTTTTTTACAAAGCAGTGCATACAGTGTGTGTGTGTGTGTGTGTGTGTGTGTGTGTGTGTGCGCGCGCGCTCAGATAACTTCCCCAACCATATGTATGAGAAACGGGGGTCCTCCCTTGCGTGAGCCATGCTTTGGTGGTGCCCCAGTTTCCTGTGTTCAGACTCTTTGGCAAACTAGAAGACCCTGCAATCTTTTTACTGCACGTCTGTCCACAGAGATCAAAGATAAAACACTAGGCTTTTGGAGTTGAGTTTTGTTTTGTTTCTTAAAAATTTAAATAAAAAAAAATCTAATCATAATCCAGTCAGGCTAACTGGGCAGTCACCCTGGAACAGCAAAGCCTTCATCAAATAATGTGATTGTGAAGTAAGCTGAGCAATTATTGAAACTCCGCTTTCTCTGCAAGAGGGACTCCAGCCCTCGCCCAGTGGCACAAAAGGGGCTGGTGTGGCCACTGCTCCTCTCCAGCTCTGGAAATGGAGAATTGGGGTGGGGGTGGGGAGCAGTGGTGCTGGGGGAGGCAGCTGCAGTGGCTTCCAGAAAGGCCGGGCTGAGTGCTGTTCCAGAGCCCCAATCTCTGAGCTGCCCGTATCAGAGGCCCCAGGAGCAGGCACTACAGCCAGGAGCAGGCAGGAACGGAGTGTGTGTGTGTGTGTGTGTGTGTGTGTGTACGTGCAGGGGTGGGTGAACTGCAAACACCTGTGCTCAGAGAGTTGGGACATCTGGGGAGACCAAGGAGAGGTGGCCCACCAGGACACAAACCAGAGGGACCTCTAGAACCGATGGTCTGTTCCCAGAGAAGAATACCAGTCTCAGCTTCCCCACTTCAGATACCACCCACTCCTTAGAAATGAATGCATGCCTCAGAGCAAGGTGGGGGGCAAAGGCAGGAAAGGCGAGGCCTGCACCCAAAGAACCTCGTCAGGTCACAGATCAGTCTCCTACCCACCCTCTCCGAGTTCAGCCATGCACAGGTCTCCAACCTTTCTCTGGCTGGATGCGGAGCTAAACCAGAACCGGGTGCTTGACTCTCCTGGGGAAACTCCAACAATCCAACTTCCACTGCAACCCTTGGGACACAGGCCCATGGCTGCCCCCCACTAGGGGCCAAGATGTCCTAGTGAGTGAATTCCATTCTTATAATTATCATTCAGGGCAAGCATGTGTTTTGGATTGGGGTGGTGGGGGACAGAAGCAGAAAGCAGCTATTTCCCCTCTTTTATTCCTTTTTTTTGGAGGGGGTGCTAGGAGAGGATTCAGAACTGTTTGTGAAGCCACTAATTATAGCTCTGAAATTAAAGATAATCTGTGTTTGACTCTCCAGCCCTCTTGGAATGCCTGCTGCCCACCAGGGGAGGGGGCAGAACCGCCTGAGACCTGTGGGTCTGAGGGGTGGGGTGGGGGCTCTAGGTGTGTGCTCGCTGATTTATCTTGGCTTGTTTTAGGGAAACAAAGAACAAGTTTCTACACCACCACCTCCCCTCTTCCCAGGACTTGTGCATATTTACCGAGCTCAACTGCAGTTTTAATAAAACATCTGTTCTTGCTTCTGCTGATGAGTTTCCATAATTGTTTTCAGACAAATTTAACAGGAAAATATAAATATGTTTGGAAAAATCCAAGTCCCCAGCTTTCCCCCTATACATAGGCATTCTTTTGCCCCAAAATTAAATGAACATAAAATGGGAAAAGGAAAATACAATCCAGAGGAGGGGAGCTTGAGTTCATCGGACCATTCTCCCCCCTTGGAGCGAATCTTGCCAGCAAATGTTAGCTGCCTTATTACAGGTCTAGCTGAAAGGGGGCAGCGTCTTTCTCTGGGAATGGAAGGTGATGGGGAGAGTGGATTTGAAATGAATTTTGAGTAGCGTCTTTAAGCAAGGGGGGGGGTGTAATTTCTATTTCTATTTCTTCTGCTCCTTCCAGCATTTCTGCCTCCCCCCTCCCACCCCCAGCAGCTGGTTTCTGTTCATTATAAATCTGAGAGACCTTTCAGTCTCTGCCCTCTGTTTAGGGACGTAATAAAACACTAAACTTTCCGGGGCTGAGACTTACATTCTCTGCTCCTTAGGTCACCCACCCTCCAGAGCCCACAACCTTTAGGCCCCCAAAGAGACTATTCCCAACTTTGGGGCCCCTGCCCCCTTCAGGCTTGGTGGAGGAGGGGCTGGGGGAAGAATCCTGGCACCCCTGATGGGGGCTGCAGCTCCTGTCCCAGAAGGAGACCTGGCTTTGAAGGTCTGAGAATTCCCTCCCTCCTCTCCCCACTCATAAAGGAGATTTTAAAATACGTAAAACATCAACACTCATGGAAAGTGAAAGCTCATTAAGACATCCTATCTTCCATCATCCAATTTGTTGTACATTGCAACAATTTAATATCTTGAAGGAAATATCACTGACATGATTTATCCCTCTAGCAATCTCTCTGAAATGGGGGGAGCGGCTTCATCTCCCTTCAGGCCACTTCAACTTGTTACACTGCTACCCCCCAGCAGAAAGGCTGGGGGCTCTTGAGTGGCTGCTTGTGTCCAGGGGTGCACTGGCTTGTCCCCCAGCTCAGTCCCTGAGGTCCTTCCCTCCTGGATGCCTCTTCCCCTCCAGGGGGCCTGGCGCCCCAGCCAGCTGTTGGAAACCTCTGCCCAGGCATGCAATGAATTTGAGGACAGCTGGAGTGGAGAGTGCAAGGCAACTCCTGATGGTGTCCGGGTGTCTGGGTGTACCTGCATGTCACCCCCAAGGAGAGAACACAGCTCAAAATTCCTCCCTGAATTTAAGAACTCCCCTCCACCGTTTTCACCTTGATCTCCTTGGGGGAAAGAAAGAGTGGCTCAAGGGAGAAACCTTTCATCCTGACAAAGGGTCTTTCCCCTTCCCTTCTAAATACCAACAACCAACCTCTCTCTCTCCTGAAGGGCTGGGCTGTATTTCTTAAAAGCCAATACAAATTGTCTGGCAGAAAGACTCTTCAAGCCCGTAATGAGGTTCATGTCTTAACTAACATGCCGTCTCCTTCAGCCCCTGCGCACTGTCTGCTTTGGGGTTCGGAACTTTATTTTTCCCCTCTAGCGACACTCCAGGGAAACCTTCACGTTACAGAAGATGAATAAAGGAGTTTTTTTTTTCCTAGCGTAGTCCCGTTTATGGCTTTATTGCTGCCCATTGATTACTCTGCTTTGTTACAGAGAAGGAAAAGATCATAAAATCCTGGCGACATCCGGGTTCTTGTAATAGCCAGTTCCACCACCCCCCCCAAAAAAGGAAGGGAAAATATGAGCTTTCACTGTTCCCTACTCACGCCCCACCACCCCTTCTTTGTCAACTCAAAACATTTCCAGCCTCTGCCCCGATAGCAAATTAAGTTTGGCTGTATCAGGAGAAAAAACCATCTGCACACCTTCCGCTGCGGCACCCTCAGAAGCCTTGGACACAGCTGCCTTTGGCTAACCTTGTCTTCCTTCTCCTCAGGTGGGAAGAAAAGGAGACTAGAGGCTGTTAAGAGGTCCCACAGAGGGCGGCTAGCATTTGGACAAGCGCCCCAGGATCCCTTTGCTGTCCTTTCTAAGCCCCAGAGCCCAGGTCCAAGCAGGGTGCCTCCCCTGGCAGGGCAGAGAGTTCCCAGGGACCGGAGGGGCTTCCAACGTAAGCAGGGGCATGAGCCTACAAGACCCTAAGGGGCCCTCCGAGCCCCACCAGCCTTCCCTTTCTGCCTGGTTCCTACGTGAATTACCCCACCAGCCTTGGCTGCTTCCAAATCATAAATTCTCACCAACATAAACAGGAGTTGCTGTCTCCAGAAAGCCTCTCAGAGTTTTCTTCCTTCCGCTCTCTTCCATCATTGGCTTCTTTCTCTCCCTTTTCTGTCGTGTTTTAAGCATGTTACCATTTAGGCAAAATTGCTGTAAGAGTTTCTCCCAAAGGGAGTCTGGAGGAGGGGGCACACGGGTGGGGAGTGCTAGGAGGCAGAGACCAGCAGATGCTTGGCCCCTTTGCCAGAGCTCTGCCTCTGGACCCCTGAGGCTCACCTTCACCTCTCTAGACCTAGCTGCGCTTCCCTCCCACTCCCATACACCCAAGGCTCTCCATCACACCTCTGAGCACCTTGCTTTATTACATTTCTTTAGACTTTGGATGTTTTTAATTATTAGAGAAAAGAATACTGAGTTGGTGTTGGGGACTCATGCTATGTGTGTCAGACCAGAATTGCCTGGAGGATTGGGGGGGGGGGCACCTATAAGCTCAGAGGGGGGTGGAAAGCTTCGCCTATAAAGCCAACCATCAGGATGCAATGTTAGGAGGGGGCAGATGTAAAGCATGAAATCAGGTTTAAAAAACACCCAGAGATTCGCCTGGCTCTGGCCACAGCACAGCAAAGTTAGCTGCGGCTGAGGGATTTCCGGGGGGTGCTGTACCCCTTTCCTGGGCCCCGCGGCCCTGCGCCGGGACACTCACCCCCTCCGTCACCCCCAAACCAGGACCTTCACATACATACATTTTAAAAGAAATCCAAGTCTTACTTTCAAAGCACACACTTAGTCTCAACTAGGGAATCAACAGAAGCAGAAGCGATTTTTTTCCCCCTTCTTGACATCTGGCTCGCGATTGGCTGGAAGGGGGTCAGCTGACTTTGTCATTTTGTCTGTCCTGGATTGGAGCCGTCCCTATAACCATCTAGTTCCGAGTACAAACTGGAGACAGAAATAAATATTAAAGAAATCATAGCCCGACCAGGTAAAGGCAGAGGGATGAATTCCTACTTCACTAACCCTTCCTTATCCTGCCACCTCGCCGGGGGCCAGGACGTCCTCCCCAACGTCGCCCTCAATTCCACCGCCTATGATCCAGTGAGGCATTTCTCGACCTATGGAGCGGCCGTTGCCCAGAACCGGATCTACTCGACTCCCTTTTATTCGCCACAGGAGAATGTCGTGTTCAGTTCCAGCCGGGGGCCGTATGACTATGGATCTAATTCCTTTTACCAGGAGAAAGACATGCTCTCTAACTGCAGACAAAACAACTTAGGACATAACACACAGACCTCAATCGCTCAGGATTTTAGTTCTGAGCAGGGCAGGACTGCGTCCCAGGACCAGAAAGCCAGTATCCAGATTTACCCCTGGATGCAGCGAATGAATTCGCACAGTGGTGAGTTTTACAGCTCCAAGATATAAATTAAATAAACTGAACTGGCTTTATGACCGGCTTCCCTAGAAGAACGGGCGGAGAGAGTTTTTTATGGCCTCATAAAAACAATCAGGCTCGTCTCCTCGCTGACGCCGAGACAGGGCCCCCTCTTCTGCCCCCTCTACTCGCCTCCTGGGCTCGCTGGCTGGGGCCTGGCCCCCCTTGGCCCCGGACAGACTGGAGGGCTCCAAGATGAGCAGAGGGGCAGTAACGGGGCAGGGGAGAGGGCAGGAACTAGGGGAGTCCCCCCCCCCAAAGTCTAGTCAGACAGAGGAGAAAGGGGGGGAGTGGAGAGGGGAGAAAGTAGAGAGAAGTTTACAGGGAGCTAGGGTGCTTGGGGAGGCGGGGAAGCCCAGTCCTTGAGAAACAGGGGCCTCCTCCCCAATATGAGGAATTTCCCCCCCAAAAAATTCAGCTGTTAGATTTGCAGCATTCTATCAGGTTCCTGCCTCTCTCCAACCCCCACCCCCACCCCACGCCCACCTTTCTTTGGGACGTGCGCCTCCCAACCTATGGGGGAACTGAATGAAGTTGGGGTCCTGTGTGCACCCCCAGTGGGGGTGGGCAGAACCAAGGGGAAGAGGCTTGACCCTGAGCCCGCCGGAGGGGGGCCTGGTGCTGCTGGCCCAGTTTGGATGGTCAGGACAGGACGTGGCTGGGCGAATCCGTCTCCAGAGGGTGCTTTGCTGATTGTTTTTAGTGTGTTTTGTGCCCGGATCTCTAGGGGTCGGCTACGGGGCGGACCGGAGGCGCGGCCGCCAGATCTACTCGCGGTACCAGACCCTGGAACTGGAGAAGGAATTTCATTTCAACCGCTACCTAACGCGGCGCCGGCGCATCGAGATCGCCAACGCGCTCTGCCTGACCGAACGCCAGATCAAAATCTGGTTCCAGAACCGTCGAATGAAGTGGAAAAAGGAATCTAATCTCACGTCCACGCTCTCAGGGGGCGGCGGAGGGGCCGCGGCTGACAGCCTGGGCGGAAAAGAGGAAAAGCGGGAAGAGACAGAAGAGGATAAGCAAAAAGAGTGACCAGGACTGGCCCAGCCACCCTATCTCCGTCCTGCTCCCTCGATCCCTCCAACTCCCTCCTGATCACGCGCTCTATATTTATCACTGGCACAATCGATGTGTTTGGACTCCGTAAAACAAAATTAGGGAGTTCAATGTGGACCTGAAAGTCAGCTCTGGACCCCCTCCCTCACCGCACAAACTCTCCCGCGCCACCCGCCTCCTGCTCCTCCTAGCTCCCTGGCTCGCTTGTTCTCAGCTTGTCTGCAGGCCCCTTCCCCAGCCCAGGCCTTGGGGGCTCAGGGCCCCTGGACCTCAGCTTCAGGCTCCTCAAATCTCCCTCCAACTGAGGACTTGGCCCCCCACCTTTCTCGGCGCCCCCTTTCGCCCCAGCCCCCCACGCGCCCTAAAGCAGGCTCCAGGACCTGGGCCTCTGCTCAGTGGCCTCAGGGCCTTCCCTGCCTGGCTCTCCGGAAGGCAGGAGGCTCCAGGAGGGTGTGCCTGCCCCCCCCAGCACCCCTTAGGGCCTCCCCGCTGTCCCTGCCCACCCCCCACCCTCCCCTGCTCCAGCTAATGCCCCAGCCCAGGCGAATTGTATTTAAAGAATCCTGGGGTCATTATGACATATTACAAACTGTGACCGTTTCTGTGTGAATATTTTTAGCTGTATTTGTGGTCTCTGTATTTATATTTATGTTTAGCACCGTCAGTGTTCCAATCCCATCTTAAAAAGCAACGAAAGGAGGGAAAATTACAGAAAGAGAAAAAATACTAAGTGAATGACGTTTGTTTAGCCAGTAGGAGAGAAAAAATAATAAAAATCCCCTTGTGTTACCCTCCTGTATAAATCCGACCTCTGGATCCGTTCTCGAATATTTAATAAAACTGATATTATTTTTAAAAGTTTACATTGGGATTTCTGTTCCTTCGCTCTCCCGCCGACCTCAGGGTGAAAGTTGGAGCAGGCTGGGGCGTCCCTGCGTCGGCCTGCCGGCCTGCAAGCTCCCAGCCCCCTCTGCTCGCTCCCCTGCCTGGGAGCCAGCGCCCGCCGTGCCCGGTCTCCCATCCTCCTCCTGGTTGCGATGGCGGCGCTAGGAGGCCCTCTCTGGGCTCCCTACACCGAGCTACACACTCACCCCGCAAAAAAAGGCCAAATAGGATTTCGTTGGGGAAAAGGAAGAAAAAAGAAAAAACAGCCCGGGCTGGTCGGGTTGGGCTCCAGCCCCAAACAGGCCTTTCTTCCTGCCTGCGAGGTTAGGCTTCTGAGTCCAGAAGCCCGAAAGGCCAGACAAGAAGATGATCCAGGCACCAGGGTGGCCCCCCAGTTCACGCCCCTGAAGAGGGGGCCGCCGCGAGGGCAGCCCCGGGCCGAGCCCGGCGGGCAGTTGCGAAACAACGTGGCCGTGGCGGAGGCGGAGAGCCGAGGGGAAGGAGAAGACGGCGCGATTCGAGCCCTTCGGCGGCTGGGATGAGCGATTCAAGGATGTTTCGAGAAAGCCAGCGTGGAAATGGAGCTCTGGCCTGCTCTGGGACTCCTGACGTGTCCGGGGACAAATCCCTCCCTACTAACCGCCCCAAACCCAGCCGGGTTCCTCTCTCTCTCTCTTCTCCTCTTCTCCCCTCTCACCCGGCGCGAAACGCCCGCAGCCGGCTCCTCACCCTTTCCCAGCTCGGGCCTGCTCTCCCCAAGCGCAGTCAGAAAGCTGAGTGGGCCAAGGAAGAGAGGTACTCTGCAGGGGGGCAATCCGCCAGTTTCCTGGACCCTCCAGATCCCCTCCAGCACCCCCTCACCCCTGCCAGTGGGGGCTGGAGGGGGGGAAGGGGGACTTCTAGCAGGGGCGGAGATTTCCTGGGTCTTTAGAGGCAGGCAGGAGAGAGTAAGACTTGGGGCTAAGAAAGAGGGGAAAAGGGCCCAGTGGCCTTGAAGACTGGCTGACTAGGATGCCCAGGGCCTGGCCCGCCCACACCCAGGAGTCCTCTTCTGACCTCCAACTCACTCGGGAGATTACTCTCCTGTGGACTTTCAGGGTCCAGATCCCTAGAAAGCCTGGGCCAGAGGCCTTTTTCGCAACTGGTACAAAGCAGGCCCTTCCCTCTGCTCTTGTACCGTTTGTGGTAAAGTGCTGATTGCTCCCATATACTCTCCCTCATATATGTGTTTCTATCCAAAGTATCTGGATCAGGTCTCACAGGAGCATCCACACACAGGGACACCAAGCAGTTGTCTAGCCCATTGTGTCTGGCTCTGTATACACAGAGCAAAAACTGCCCCGTTGCCATGGTCTGGTCCTTGGTACAATGACATTTATTTCACCTGGATCCTCCCTTCACCCACAAGCTCACCCCAGAGAGTTCCCAGCACTCTCTGTCTCATGATTCGCCCACCCCACTACCTAGTTCCGCCCACCCAGGCCCCTTGGGGGGGGGGTCCCATTTGCCTCTCTAGAGGCTGAGTTTACTTTCCCAGGGCAACAGGGACTTTCTAGTCTATAGCCCAGTCTTGGGGCCTCAAAAGGAAGCATGGGATCCCCACCCTCGATTTAGGGAGTCTAAGATAGCTAGCTCCCTGACATCTCCAACCTACATAGGGGCCACCCAACCTAAAACCTCTCCCCTCAGTCGTTTTTGAGTGCTGGGATGCCCTGGGAGCGCAGGTGAGGGGTGGAAGCATGACTATCCAATACAAGAGCTTCTCCGCGCTCCTTAAATGAGGCCTCATCTTTCCTAAAAAATAAATACAATTTAAAAGACCAGCCCAAGAGTGTTGCAGCAACAGCCAGTTAGTCTCCACGGGGTAGAAAATTCCGCCGCCAGCGCGACAGGCTGCAATTCCTCCATTTAAGCACCAGGTGTCGCTGTGGACTCGTTGTCCCGGCTACCCCCCAGTTTCAAGAATCTTTCCCCCCCCACCTCTCCCCCTTCCCTCTTTCTCTCACTCCCTCTCCCCCTTGGTTGGGCTTTGCCAACATATCAAGATGCGTTTCGCCGGCTTCCATCACTAACCTCCCGGAGGTCATCAAGCCAAATTTATGAGTGGCCGCTCGTGTCACGTGACTCTATTTAAGGCTCCCTTATTTGGGAAGAGCGCATAGGATAAAGAAAGAGATATCTCCACCTATAAATTGTGCACTTTGGAGAACAAAAAACCCCTCAACTTCAAAGAGTCACAAATCACCCTTAATCAAAAAGGGTGCAGAAATTTTTTGGGGGCCCTCCCCGCCATGAGCTCCTACGTAGCCAATTCATTCTATAAGCAGAGCCCCAATATCCCGGCCTATAACATGCAAACTTGTGGGAACTATGGATCGGCCTCAGAGGTGCAGGCATCCAGGTACTGCTACGGCGGATTGGACTTAGGCGTCACTTTCCCACCGCCTGCGCCTTCCAACTCTCTCCACGGGGTAGACATGGCTGCCAATCCCCGGGCTCACCCCGACCGCCCCGCCTGCAGCGCCGCGGCCGCTCCGGGACACGCTCTGGGCAGAGACGAAGCGGCTCCTCTGAACCCCGGGATGTACAGTCAGAAGGCGGCTCGCCCGGAGCTGGAGGAGCGAGCTAAGAGCAGTGGGGAGATCAAAGAGGAGCAGGCGCAGACAGGGCAGCCCGCCGGACTGAGCCAGCCACCAGCCCCGCCACAGATTTACCCGTGGATGACCAAACTGCACATGAGCCACGGTAAACTTTAGGACTTCATTTTGCGCGCTCGGGTCCGCCTGGGTTTTATAGGCCATGCGGGGCAAATAAAGAAAAAAAACCTGCGGCCATAAATTTTACGATCCAGGCATCAATGGCTCGTAAAACTGTCCACTAAAAGGCTTAGAGGCTGTGTGCGCCCAAATTTACGACGACATAATTGGATCATAGGAACAAAACGTGTATAAAAGGCAATATTCAATTTTGGGGGGAGAGGGAGGGAGTTAAAAAAATAGAGGGATCTGAAGGGTGAGGAACGCGGGGCTCCCGGAGCGGGGATCCCCCCGCGGTGGCTCCCTTCCTCCCCTGCGAAGCGGGCTCCGGGCCGGCGGCGCTCCCGGCTCGGGCGGATTCCCGTCCAACTCGGGAGGGGCGGGACGGGGGTCCCGGGGGCTGGGGTCGGGGAAGGTGCTCTCATTGTTCCGCCCGAGCCCGGGGCTCTCTCTCCCTATCCAGCCCGCAGGCCCGCCGGCGGCTGCGCCAAGGCCGCAGCGCAAAGTTTGCTGCCACGGCGGAGCCGCCTCTCTCCCCACGCCCTCCGCCCCGGCCCCGGCCCGCTAGGCCTGGCTGGCCCGGTCCGGCCCGGCTCGCCTCCCCTCGGTCCGGCCGCGGGTGTGGGTCCTGGAGCCAGGGTGTGGGCGCTGGGATGCTGCACGTTGCACGCTATTTACCCCTTCCTGGCTGGTGGGTGGGCGGGGGGCTTGTGTTCCAGAGACAGATGGCAAGCGGTCCCGAACCAGCTACACGCGCTACCAGACTCTGGAACTCGAGAAAGAATTCCACTTTAACCGCTACCTCACCCGCCGCAGGCGCATCGAGATCGCCAACAACTTATGTCTCAACGAGAGACAGATCAAGATCTGGTTCCAGAACCGCAGGATGAAGTGGAAGAAAGATTCCAAACTAAAAAGCAAGGAGGCTCTGTAGAGGCCGCGGGCAGGCCCGCAGCGTGCCCGCGCCGGGCCCCCGCCTTCCCCTGGCGCATCTCAACTCGCCCTCCGGGCCGCCGGGGCAGGGGCTGAAGCCCGGCTCCCTGGCCTCCCAGACAAAGCGCCTTCCCTTGACATTCCGCGTCCCCGTCGACCCCGGGTCCCCGAGGGGCTGCCCCATTCTGCCCCGTCTCTCCCCAGCTCTGCTCAGCACCCGGGTCTCAGGGCGAGCTCAGCCGGGGGGCTCCAGAGGGCTGCAGCCGGCTGGCG